TTATTATTATTATTATTATCATCTTCATCATAAATGAAGAGGAAGGCTTCAATATGTTAACAAGTCGAGACAACGTTCCTTGAGAAGACTGTCAAATATGTATACGAACGGGAAGAATGAAATGACTGAATTAAAAGTGATACTTGCAAGACAATAGAAAGTTACTCTTATCTACATTGCAGTTTTCCCATCCTTGATTTACCTGTCCGTTGTTATGCGAGTTCCGTAATACTGTTGTATTTCCCTTCCAGGATCGCTGTGGGTATAGTCATCAATGGTTTGACGTTCCGTTTGTCCGAGCTGAGCGGTGATGTGAGCATAAACCTCGCCATCACTTCCTTTCTGGACTGCGCCTGCTCATTGGTATCTCGAGTTTTTGCTAACAGGTCAGTAGTCTTGTCTAACGTGTTTGCTAACAAGCCACTAATTGTGTGTACCTTGTTTGCTAAAAAGTCATTAATCGTGTGTACCATTTTTGCTTTAAGGTCAGTTTAGATGCATTGTAGATGAAGAAAATATTATAGCTTTGAATCTTTCTGGTATGAGTGTACTCTCCTCTGAAGACAATTTTATTTTGCTTCGGTTTTCAATAGCACAGGAAAGGAATCACCCCAAAACAAATGCCCTTGTTAAATAAAGTGGTTTTTTAAAATTACACAATGGGGTAGCTATATCAACGACTGTTTTTATTTTGATCATACAACATAGGAAAATTACATATTTTTGATTCTCGCTATTAACCTGAACAACACACACTGAATCTTGTTTCAGGCTGGGAAGGAAATGGTCCATGGTCACACTCTCGTTTGTCAATTGTGTTCTGGCGCTTGTTTCACTCTTCTGTGTCTGTGAGTACGCTCTTCAATTAATTATAGCAGACGATGGAGAAGTTGATAAAGTCTCTACAGTTGCTGCTATGACATCAACGACAGTTATGATAGACTACAATAGTGTGATGATAAAAATAACTATGGAATCAGTGGTGTGCAAAAGAAACTTGAAAATGTAATCTCCAAATCATCGTGTTAAAACCTCGCATCACCTACTCATGCAGCATACCAAATTAAAGTTAAACAAATTCTGCGTCACCTTCATCATCACCTGTCCTGTAGACTTGGGCGCTTTTGAAGATTTGGCCATCACAATAATACACTAATATTTCATCTATGTTAAGAGACGCCCGAGATAATATGGTCACTCATAATTAACCTTAAAAAAACCAGGCGTGGCAAAATTGTGCGAAATTAAAGAAACGTAAAATTGTTTCTAGCGTATATTGAGGAGCATCAATACTGATAGAATAGATATATACGTTACATATCAAATGAATGGAGAAATTTGATGTGCTATAAACAATACTCTATTTTGAAATTTTGTCACGATAGTTTCAAACAAAACGGAAATAGAGCAATCACACATGCCGCGCAAAACTTGGACTTGACATTAAAATTTATGTCTTCATTGTTCGTTTTTTTTTTCTTAGCTTAGGAGCCTTTAGTATTAGTTTTGTGTAGTGCACGAGCCCTTTCGGCAACGATTCTATTAAATTTTGGATATAATTATCCATCAATCCATCCCAAATGTCACAGAATTGCAAACAAAGGGTTTGAATTGGGAGCAAAGCTGCTTTTCTTCAGCTGCTGTTTCAAGGGAGGCCTACTTCACTCTTTAAATACCTGTAGGATTCATATCGGGGCTATTAACTGGTGACCACTCCAACGTTGATATGATTTGGTTTTCCAAAATTAATCTGATGGCATTGGCCCAGTGAGAAAGTTCTTTGTTATGCATGGAGATGTCTACTTGAATAACACCATGACGGAAATAAGATACCGTTAGACATGACGCTCCCGCGCTTGCCCTGTGTAGTCCACTAAATCAATATGTCCGTTCCTTCCGCCCCAGTTTCGTGGTCTCTGTTCCTCTGTGACATATGATTATGTCCAAAATCTAACTAACACAGTCCATGTGCAAAAATATTTCGCGCTCGACACGAAACCAATAGCTCTTAAACAAAAACAAAATTAATACTAATGAGAACATGTCCAGGTTTTGTGTAGAATGTGTAACTGCTCTGTTCTCCGCTCTTTTTGAAAATACATGTATCATCAGAAGATGCTGTTCGTTGCAGGGACAATGATATTCTCTTTTCATTTGATATTAAATACATGTCCACCCCACCAATTTTGATGAACTTCAATATATGCGCGAACACACTTTTGCGTTTCTCTGATTTCGCACAATTTTGCCAAGCCTGATTAATTAAGGTCACTTTTGAGTGCCCATTTCTCGGGCGTTTCTTAACATAGATGAAATATTAAAGTGTCAGATGATGCAGAATTTATTCAGCCTGAATTTGGTGTGCTGAATGAGCACTATGATAGGAGGATTACATTTTCAAGTTTTTTTTGGACGCTAATATAATAAAAGGTATTTTAGCCGTAGGTTGTGGAGATTGCAAGGAACCCATGTGCGGATAAATTTAACTTAAGAGAGCCTTGTTGATTTGGAATTTATAAATGCACCAAACACACAGGTCTCAACTATGACGAGTCATACAGACTTCAACATAAGTTAAGGACCACCTTGAAAAACAGCCTTAATTTTTACAAATCCGAAAAAAAGATAGCTAGGAATTTTAAAACATTTTTTGCTCTAAAAGTGTTAATGAGTTAACAAAGCGTACTGCAACGCTTACTAAAGGGGCAAAACGACCACGTGCAGTACGGAAATCCTCGGGGAATTTTAGCCAAATTTGCTGTTTTTTAAAAACTTGTGTGAGACGCCATGGACATTCCTCTGTTAAAATTTCTGGTGCACGTGATAAACGGACATATGATCTCGAACTGTGCTCACTTTGGTGGCAATATAAGCCGCGGTTTGCGCAAAATACATTATCCCATCAACATGCCACCAAGACAAAAGCTGAGTCTTTGATTGTGCCAGGGCTATGGCACGGCTGCATGATGGAGTTGGAGCCTGAGAAGTTGCCAGAAGGCTTGCAGTGTCACACTCTGTCATTGTCTGCCTGAGGCAGCGCCATCAAGCCACTGGATCAGTCCAAGAACTCCCTCGTGCTGGTCGACCCAAAAAGACCACTGAGAGAGAGGGGGAGAGAGAGAGAGAGAGAGAGAGAGAGAGAGAGAGAGAGAGAGAGAGAGAGAGAGAGAGAGGATCGATACGTCTGCATGCAGGCCCTCCGACAGAGGACAACGACAGCCAACAGCATCAGGTAACGTCTGCGTGCAGCTACCACCACGACGGTCAGCTCCCACACCTTTCAGCGTCCTCTGCATGCTGCCAATATCCGTGCCAAACGTTCAATCAAGAAACCAAGGCTGATCGCAGGACACCAGACAAGTCGTCTTGCTTGGTGCAGGGCCCATGAACCATGGACTCGAGCCCAATGGGGCCATGTGTTGTTCACAGATGAGTCATGATTCGTGGTCAACCCTAAAGATACACGGCGTCCACATCAGACAAGCAGGGATCACAAGAATGCCATGGCCCGCAAACAGTCCTGACTTCAATTCCATGGAGATCGCGTGGTGTGAACTTGGTCGGAGAGTCCAGCAGCACAAGCCACCACCAGCTAACCGACAAGAGCTGCTACAGATCCTGCAGCAGGAGTGAGCAAACCTTCCCCAGGCCTTCATTTCCACCATCATCAACACCATGTGGCAACGCCGCCTTGATTGCATTGCTCGGCGTGGTGGGTTTACCCGTTTTTGAACACTAATTCCTGGATTTTTCTTTTGAGGGGTACTGTTGTCCCGAGCGACATACTGCCTAAGTTTGTGACGTCATCATTCTGAAATGGAATTGATTTTGTTAAGAAATGATTGAATTAACTATCTTTCAATTTTCAAATGTTTTGCTTTTCACCTGTTTGTGCTGTGAGAGTGCTTGCAAGTGGTCCTTAACTTTAGTTGAAGTCTGTATATTTTTTCAAATCCTACTTTTCTTCGAAAGCACGAGCAGGAAAATGCTATGTCTGCATCAATTCTTACTGCCTTTTTTATGCACCCGAGGAAGCTACAGGACGAAAAGTTGGGCTTTCATTTTCTTGAGCAAAATACCTTTTTATCAAGGCATTTTTATATTTATATACCATTCAAAATATTTCTTTGTTTACTAATTGTTTTCTACATTGATACGTAACTGTTATTTCCCCTAGTGTTTGCTGTGGCCCTAAACGGTGCTTCAGGATACCTTATCACAGCCTCGTGCTTGATCATCAAGGCGCTCTGTTCTCTCGTGAACATCATGTTGCTGTTGTATGCTTCTGAGGTGTACCCGACGTCTGTCAGGTGATGATGATGATGATGATGATGATGATGATGATGATGATGATGATGATGATGATTTAAATTCCTGCATGTGGTTGAATGATGCATTTGATGTAAATGTACATTTTGTCAGCTTTACTTCTCCTTTCATATTGAATTTTAATGAGAGTAATATATATGATTTTTTTTTTATAATTTATGTATACCTGCGTTTTTATGGTACAGCCAAGGAAAATTTCCCTCTGGGATAATAAAGTACTATCTTATCTTATCTTATCTTATCTTATATTATGGATGATGATGATGATGATATGATGATATGATATGATGATATGATATGATGATATGGTGATAATATGATATGATGATGATGATGATGATGATGATGATGATGATGATGATGATGATGATGATGATGATGATGATGATGATGATGATGATGATGTAAAAGGAGTTTAAAACACCACCTGGCGAGGCAGGCACCTGAAACTCACCGTGACCGGTGTAGGTTTTGACCGTCCAAAATTAGCATTCGGGAATTAGTCTGTGAGCAGCTGGGAGTATCGTAAAATGTAGATCTAGTCTCCGGGGGGCCATTAAAAGACACAGACGTGTGAGCATATGCATTATCTTCTACACGGCAACGCAACCTCTCACATGTGTGCGTGAGGATGGTTGGTGTGTGCTCTGGTGAGGTTTGTCCTTTCTTTCCTATCAAGCATATATCGTCCTTATCTCTCCCCCATCTTTTTAAATGTTTGTTACCTTTTTAACACCTGTAATTTTCGGCACTTATACAACCCAAATGTTTTGCAAGTTTCGTAAAACAAACTCCTATTGATACACAAATAAAATAGCAAAGAAAAGAAAAAAAATCAACAAAACAATTCAAATAGTTCTGACTGAAGATTGCATTCATGGGCACGGCTGGGGGGAGTTATTTCTCCAATAGTCCTCATATTGGTTCATCACAGTCTTATATTTTTGGGCCCATAGAGCATCATTGAACATGAAAGATGTTCACAAAAGGTCGCAAACGTCCGGGATTATCTATACTCTCTAGACCATACTTTTTCTGGAGGGGAGATATCTATCTATCTATCTATCTATCTATCTATCTATCTATCTATCTATCTATCTAT